TCTACTTGCTTTGAATCAATTGACAGGGGAATAGCGATAGCTGGTGATATGACAAAAGGGGTACAGCATCTCTTCAGTGGTATATGTCTGCAGCAGATCAGTCCCGCTGATTTTTTCACCATTTGTGCATTTCCGACTCATTTTTAATGATGATTTTGTAAAACGTTCTTGATGCTGAACATGCCCAATTAAGTGATTTCCCAGGAAACCCACATCCTCTGCTAATACACCTGCTGAGCAGAGAGCCAGAACAAACAGTAGGGTGGGCTTTATTTCTCCATTGACTTTGTATCTGACTTTCTATCATTTTAAAAAAAATTATTATTGGATTTTATTTTGCAGTGATAAAAATCAGGGCTTTTTCTCAGCCAGAACTTGCCGGAACTCAGTCACGGCACATCTTAGGTGGGTGCCATTGCCCTTCTAAGAGAACGAGGGAGGTGTTCATGGTGAGTTCTGGCACCTCTTTCTCTAGGAAAACAGGACTGAAAAAATAATAAAGAAACAATAAAAATAATCAATATCACGAGAAAAACAAGTCCAATTCACTGCTTCTTACAGCAGATATATTTAAAAACAGGGATTTCTATGGCAGTATGGAGTATCACTATTTCCTTTTTTGCTGACCATGACAGCTATTTTGTTCTGGTGTCCATGGTGCTTTTCTGAATATCTGGGTATCGGCACCTCATTTTCTACCCCAGAAAGCATTGTATAAAAATATTGATCTACCTAGCTCCATCGGTTAGGGCATGGTGCTGATAATGCCAAGGTTGCAAGTTCGGTCCCCGTATGGGGCAGCTGCATATTCCTGCATTGTAGGGGTTGGACCACATGATCTTTGGGATGCTTTCCAAGGCTACAATTCTATGAGCTGTATCCCAGATTTCATGGACTAATAATTAACAGCATATCAGAAAAGACAGTCGAGATCACATTTCACAATAAACTATACTCAAAAGCTGATGAATTTTCATGAAGACTTTTTAAAAATAATAATAATCATAAACTCCTGTAGAAATGTGGAGAAGTGAGCTTAAGATTGGAAAAATGAGAAACTGAAATTGACATATTTGCCCATTTCCCTTCTCAGAAGCAAGTCTTGGTCATCGAAGCCCCCTGCAATTTTAAATAGACATTGCCTCCTTGCAACTTGTGCCTCTGATTGCTTCCTGTTGGGCATAGCATGGCGTCAGTGATGAACTGCCCAGACACTACTAGAGGAGTGACCATGTCAGTCATATCAGTGGTCCTTAAGTGATCAGAGACATTTGAGCCGAAAGTGCTTAGGATGCATATGGAGCAGAAGCACTTGTCCTGCAGTCTGGGATACGGGATGCAGGATGCAGGTCCTTCCTACAGTGGTATTTTGGACCACCGGGATGGAGCTGATACTTGTGTGTAGAAGCATATTCCCTTATGTGGATTGGCCTCCTTGAATCTAGGTGATTGGCATTGTTACTGTACAGTTTCAGTTCATCTTAGTGGAGTTTGCATGGACAGAAAGACGTGTGGGATAATTCACACAAAGATCTGTGTAATCAGCAGTGGTTGGTGGATTGAGCTCCTTGTTTGCAACAGGAGCTACTGATTCAAACAGGTTACGGTACATTATAAATTCATAAAACTGACCTGTGTTCTGAAAAAGTATTGTTCTTATTTCTTATTCTGTCTATGCAGTAGTGAAGCAAAATCCACCATCGGCCGATCCATACATATATTAATATTCTATAAGAATGTCACTCAGTTCATGTCAGTCATTTTAAACACTCTTCAGGTCATTGGGGGGGGGGCTATGAGTTCAACAGTTAACCACGTAGAAAATTAATTCCCATTGTGACCTAGAGTGGTTTGATTACTATGCAAGAGTGGTGGAACCTGAATAGTTGGATTTGTTATTCACACAAATAGAGGGTAAAACTTGCCATAAGCTTAGAATCAAATGACCTGTCCTTGTGAAATTTGGTCTACGGCTGGCTCCTAGCATGCTTCATTAGTATAAGTTTAAAGTAAAAGACATTGACACAAGGAGAATCTTGTTGTTTAGCCTGCATTTCTCCTTGCAGTTTCATCTGTGAATTTGTATTTGAAAATTGGGATGTTTTCAGATGGGAGTTGGTTGCGAAATTGGTACTACTCATGCCCACAAGTTTTTTCAGCATCCGTACAATGTCATTATCAAAGTGCTAACCAAACTTCTTTTTATTTAAAAAAATGATCTGGATTTCGCCTCCCTGCAGAAAATCTGATAAGTAAAAAATTACCTGTTATATATCTGCAGGTACTGCTTGTGTATTAGAGCTGATTTGTACATTTTGGGAGTGGGTTTGCTAAGTATGTGATGCCATTTTTGTGGGTAGTCTATACTGTCACACACAAACTTCTGTTTGCTTTTCCCTTGAGCACAACTTAGCCATTCTAATTCTGGTGGACCCAAACGCCAAAGAAAATAAGTCAATTCTCATTGATCTGCTGCACCTTTTGGGTTCTCTGCACTTTGACTAGGAAGAGAAGGGCATTTGCCCCAGAACATCTTGAAAACAGGAGTGTTAAACTCCTGACTTAGCTTAACTTAATACATAACCCAACCCCCAAATCACCCTTGTCGCTGGTTTATACAGAAAAACAATGCTGTCTATTACTGCTTCCAGATGAGGTGTTCATTGTGGATTTGCTATACAGTGGTACCTCGGGTTACAGACACTTCAGGTTACAGACTACGCTAACCCAGAAATAGTACCTCGGGTTAAGAACTTTGCTTCAGGATGAGAACAGAAAATGTGTTGCGGCGGCGCAGCAGCAGCAGGAGGAGGCCCCGTTAGCTAAAGTGGTTCCTCAGGTTAAGAACAGTTTCAGGTTAAGAACGGACCTCCAGAACAAATTAAGTTCTTAACCAAAGGTACCACTGTACCTTGTTCACTCATATTTTATAGCAGTGGTGGGGTGGTCCACATGATGTAGGTTCCTTCCAGATGGGTAGCTCCTAACACTCTTAGTTCATTACTCTTCCATTGTAAGCTCTGTGCAGAATTGCAACAGACTTGCCTATCTGCTAGGAGTGTCACAGCTTTGCATGTGAACATCATCTAATGTTCCATCCACATTAGTGGATGTGACATAGTCCTGTGGCTGGGGAAGAAAAGGGTACAATTCAGCTGAGCATACATGTGTGTTTGTTTGTTTGTGTACACACACACGCACATTTAATTTTTAAATAAATGGATAAATCTTACATCCAGACCCCTCTCTGCGCATATGTGTGTGCGTGCACTCATGCACGCACACTCTCTCTCTCTCTCTCTCTCTCACACACACACACAGCCAGCCAATAAATCTCACCCTGCATTCCAAGGGCATCTGCTTGGACAACAGAAAGCTGACTATAGTTGCTCCGAGACAAGGTATTTGTTTTGGAATTGTCATGCGTCATTAATTCAAAGTTTTTACAGGGTGTCCAGACAACATAGTAATCTTTTTATGATCAGTCCTTGTTTCCTCAGCAATTGTGGGAAGGAACCTTGCAAACATGTAGAAGGACATCGCATGAAGTTCAGCACGCACAAAACTTTGCAAGTGTAGAAACACTGCTGCAATTCTGCATAGAACGATGAACGCATAGTGTTGAGAACTGCCTGTTGAGAAGCAGCCTATGTTACCATCCATCTACATTTCATGAAGAATATAGAAATCATTCATCAAATCAGAGGTTTAAACAGATGTGGTGCCATTTTTGTGGCATTCTCGTTGACAATGGCCGAAATGTCACAAAAGGAAAAGGCATCTTGGGTAACTGAGTTGTAAATATTAATAGATGTTCTATAACATTTTAAATATTCCCCAAATTGTGAAACTCAATTTTGTGGTGGTAGTGCATGAAATTGAAGACTGGCTCTAAAAGCTGCATTTGATACAGATATGATAATTTCACCGATGGTCTTGATATGCTGTTTGCACTTGAGTTTCACAATGCCGATTTGCTTAATGTTGTTATTTCACGTTTCATGTAATTCAGGGCTGGTGTAAACTGTAAATATTGTTTTACAAAATATTTTCTGATTTTCAGCAACAGACAAAATAAAAGAACAGGATGCTGGCTTCAAATCCGCTGGAATAAATATCAAGGATTTGAATAGTCAAGAATAAGATTGTATTTATAAGGCAGTTTCATTTAAATTGAAAACTTCATTTATTAATACAAATATGATCACTTAACATACTTTAAAAAATAAATTTCCAGAAAAAAATGAAAAGAAAAATGTATCAAAAATCAGATTCCACTGAGACTGTATTTTAACTCTGTGTTAATAATATACGTATCTAAGAGTCATTCCTCCTGCTGCAATCTCTACTTTTAAGATTGATTTTTGGAACCAACAGTTTATGTGCAGTTTCCACAAGGAACTGCATTTTGGTAGCATTGTATTTTATCCCTATGGGTTTTATATGCTTGTTGAATGCAAGAAGATACTGAACTTTTGATATTTATGAAAAGAGATACAGTGGTACCTCAGTTTAAGAACAGTCTTGTTTACGAACTATTCGGTTTACGAACTCCGCAAAACCAGAAGTAGTGTCCTGGTTTGCGAACTTTACCTCAGTCTAAGAACGGAAGCGGAATGGTGAAAGGGAGGACTCATTAGGGAAAGCGCACCTCAGTTTAAGAATGGTTTTGGTTTAAGAACGGACTTCCAGAACAGATTAAGTTTGTAAACCGAGGTACCACTGTATTATGTGCTGAACAGCTAAACCCTTTTATATCTTTGGTAGTTTTTTCAGGGCTGTTTCATAAGGCCATTTTTACAACTACTGTACATTTAATCAGTATCAGCTGAGGGAATAGAAATGGGGCAGAAAGTTGGCTCAAACTGAAACACAGCCATCCTTTGAAATTCACACTTCTCAAAATTTGCGATGCGGTTCTTCAACTGAAAAAGGTGTACGAAAATGCCTATATAAGGCGAAACGCATATATCAGTGAAAATAATATACAAAAATGCATTATGTTAGGGGGTAAGTGCTTGCAACAAGATGTATATTAGGCAAAATTACACACAGAAGTGTCTATGTTAGCAGAAATGAACACAAAAGTGCTGACCAATTTTCATGAGGCCTGGAGAGAGGTGGGGGTGGGGATAATTCACATACTGATGTGGATGAACTGAACTTAAGAATTGAAAATTGAGGAACTGAGTGACATTGAAATGGATAGCTTGCCGTAAAACTAGCTCTCCAGCTAGAAAAGAGCCTCCAAAAACATTCCAGCTGCACAGTTTGATCTCTCAAGAAGTATTTACCAATCATACGAATTCTAACTAGCACTTAATTATATTCAGCAGAGACACTTCATATCACCTAGGGAGTTGCTCCCTGGTTCTTCCCCCACCCCGATGATGTGCACTTTTTGTGCTGGAGTCTTGGAATCAGACACCTGTGATTATTCACTTCCAAATCTTGTCTGTTTTTGTTTCAGTCCAGGCAAAGCCAACCGGGTCTCCTGCCATTGGAAACAGCACTGAAGGCAGCCCAACTGCAGAGCCAGGTAAGAATATGAAAGGGTAGGCTAAGCCCTTTTCTATCTGTGCTGTGTTTCTGCGTGGCTGGTTCGTAAGGCCATTTTTACTACTAATACTGTATATTTATTCAGTACCAGCTGAGTGTCAGGTGCTGGGCAGATCCAATTTGGTGTAGGTGATGACATGGTGAACACATCAGGATCAACTGTCAATCACCTCCTCCTTTAACTCACCTTTTGACAGTGTTTTTTTTTAAGATAATTTTTTAATTGAAATTTCATTTTTCTACATAACAAATTAAACATTTTACAAACTTTGAAATATCCAATAACTTCCTTTCTTCTCCTTCCATGGTTCATATTACATATCATAGTTTTGCATATTCTACCATCTTAAGTTGCCAATCCTCTGTAAAAGGCACCTCACCCACTTTCCATTTTTGGACCATCAAAACACAGGCCACTGTTGTTGCATACATAAACAAACTTTTCTGGTACTTGGGAATTTCTGTATGGGTTATTCCCAACGAAAAGGACTCTGGTTTTTTGGGGGAAGGTAAATTTAAACATTTTTTCAGCTCATTATATATCATTTCCCAATATTCTTTCACCTTTTTGCATGTCCACCACAAAAGAAAAAATGTTCCTCCCATTTCTTTACATTTCCAGTATGTTTCTAATTCTGCTTTATACACATTTGCCAACCTACTTGGTTTTAAATACCATTTATGAATCATTTTCAAATAATTCTCTTTCAGCAAATAACGCGCAGTAAATTTTCAGATCACTTTCCCAAAGTTTCTCCCAGAGGTTTAGGTCTATATTGTGTCCTATATCTATTGCCCAGTGTGTCATGGATGCTTTAACTAGCTCGTATTTTGTTTCCCATTCTAATAAGAAAATATACATTTTAGACAGATATTTATCCTTATTTTGTAACAGTTCTTTTTCAAATTGTGAGCTTTGGTCCAACCCCTCCCCCTTTTTGGGGGTCTACTTTAAACCTGTCATATATCTGGTGGTATTGTAACCAATCCGTAACATGACTTCTTAAGTTCTCCATAGGTTTCAGTCTGGGTTTGCCCCTTGCAAAGTCCAGCAATTCCCTGTAGGTCACCCATTGTCTATCCATATTAACTCTCTTAATTGTGATTGCTTCGATGGGGGATAACCAGAAAGGTAACTCACCTTTTGACAGTTTGCATTGAGAGACCCCTCTTAAGAAAGCTATGCCTCTCCACTTTCTAGCCTCTCTATTCCCTAGGCCAGGGGTCTGCAACCTTTAAGACAAAAAGAGCCACTTGGACCCGTTTCTGAAGGGAAAAAAAACTGGGAGCCGCAAAACTCATCATTATAAAAATAACTTTTTTGTCACTTTTTTATTATTTCTTTGTTTGACCCCTCAGAATTCCTCCTCCTCATAGAAATAAACGTTAAATTAACAAGTTACCGTTTTGTGTGTGTGTGTTCTTCACTCCCCTTCAAAACAGTGACCAGCGTACATGCCCCCTTTCAATGCAGTGACCAGCGTACATGCCCCTTACAATGTAGCAGGCGGGAGGGAAGGTGACGTCGGGATGGTGCGTGACTAACGCATGCACTGCCCCCATGCGACGCCACAGCCAGTACAGCGCCCGCCACAGTGGGGAGTGTCGGGGCGCACAATGTGCCTCCTCCCCTCGCTAGTATCCGCCCCGGAGCCGCGGCAAAGGTGTAAAAGAGCCACATGTGGCTCCGGAGCCGCAGGTTGCAGACCCCTGCCCTAGGCTATAAGTTAACCAGTTCTATTCACTGTGGTTACAAAACACTGCCCTGATCCAAAGCAAGTGCTTTTGAATCTTTCTTCTACTCCAAGTCTTATCTAGTTTTGAAGGGACTGAATCAGATATTGATGGGCAGAGCAATGTGTAGTCTAATTGCCAAGTCGGCAAGAACAGGTACATCGAGGAAGAAGAATAAGCAATGGATTGCTTAGAGAAGGGCCAGGTAATTAGGAAGTAAACAATTTGATTTATCGTTTGATGGGCATAGTATTAGGAATAGGGTTTCTGTACATACATCCTTGCAGCTGCCCGTGGTGTCAGGTTCACAAAAACCACAGCCTTATTAACCAGACACGCTACATCTCACAGCGGCATGTTAACTCTGCTTGCAAATGTCAGACTCCTTAACTTACATATGAAGAGCAAGCATGATATCCTGAAGGGCTCATCTATCAAGAACTGCAGGAATGATGTTCAGAGTGGATTGGCTTCTTCACAAAGATAAGGACATGAGGATGTACAGATTCTGATAAGCACATATTTCACTCCACTTCTTGGATCTGGGAGACGATGGAACACATACGGTTCAGAGTAGACACCATCCTAAAACAAAATGGTGCAATTTTTGTTTTGGAGTCTGGATGGTCTTGTATTCAGTTCCCATTAGCCTGCTTGCATATAGGGCAGAGACGGGGTGGGGCTGTCAACTTACAATAGTCTCCTAGTTGTGCAAAAATGGCCCAAGCCAGCCCCCACCTGTTGGGATTCCTCCCAGGGAGCAGAGCTTACCTCATCACTGGTTTTTGAGGTTACCTGAGCTCCGTGTGCACTCACCTCAGTGACATTTTCATCAAAGGGGCAGGAAGTTGTGTGGGTGGCAAATTGTGTTGCACCCATCCCACGGATAGAGCGGAGTTGAGGTTGATGTGCTTTTTTTTTTTTTTAGCACCCACTTCCTGGACTAGGGGAGTCACTTATTCATCACTAAAAAAAGAGAGGATGCAAATCTGCCTAATATTTGCATATGTTAATTCATCTATAGGGGTATAATCTAAAGAGAAAAAAAGTACATCTCACCACTGTGGGGAAGATTGTGACCAGGTGAGATGCGTTTCTGGTGTCCAGGGGCTTTAACTGCTGAGGAGCCACCTCAAGCCTCCCGCACCCCCACTTTCCCTTCTTATGGTTCTTTTAAACCAGACAGCACTTCATGTACAGGACTCAGCCAAACAGAGGACTGTCTTTCTCCTACCTGGTGCTCTTCAGATGTTGCATGACTGCTACTCCCTCCACCCTTGACCATGGACCATCCCTGTAGTCCAAAATATTTGAAGGCCACCAAGTTGGGGACTCTCTTCTGACAGGCCTTCAAACGGAGGACTGTAAAAAAAAAAAAAGGCATATGGACCCCCTATCCTGAACTGATTGGCTGAATCTCAGGCGATTTCTGTAGCAACATAAGCCAGGATTGGCTCTTTTGGCAGGACCAATATTGTCACTGTCTTCAATGAGCCTGTACCATACTGAGGCCCCACTGACAGTTGTGAGCTTTAGGGTTATCAGTGTGTGTGTGTGTGTGTGTGTGTGTGTGTGTGTGTGTTTTAATCCTGGAAATACTGTAAATCTCTGAATACAGTATAGTCCAGGCCAATAGTACTTTTTATGAGTGTTCAACCCACACATACTTTTCTCCCATGCTGGTTTCATGAATCATGACTGAGGGAGGAAAGCTGTATGTGTGTGCAGAGCTCTGAAGGAAACAAATGGCCTCCCCTCCGGACAGCCTCAGGCCGAGATGCCTTAGGAACATAGGAGCAGAGGAGGCAGTCTTATACACAGTAAGGCTGCCCGTCCATCTAGTTCAGTGCTGTCTACACTGACCGGCAGCAGCTCTCCAGAGTTTCAGGCAGGGGGATAATTCCCAGTCCTGCCTGGAGATGCCAGAGATTGAACCTAGGGAAGTTCTGAGTGCAAAGCAGATGCTTTTCCGCTGAGCTACGGCGTTCTTTTTCACCATGCTATACTGAGAATGCCTCTCAGATAGAAAAAAAAGTGGGTGGACCAGTCTGCATTTCCCCAACTCTTGGATTCCGGTTATCTCATTAGCTACAGAATCGGAAACATCACAGGGTCGGTAACATTCCCACATGCAATTCTATCACTTGATTTCTCATAACTTGGACCTACTATACATGTAGAGCAGAATGATATGGCAATGAGCTGGAAGCGTCCTGAGGTGGTAGAGTGAGCTGTATCAATTCATACCGCAGGTGGGGGAACCATATTTTTCAATATGTATATTAAAAAAATCCCAAACCTGAACACTCTGCAGTCAGGAAAGTGGCACAGCAGAGGGTAGGGCTGAGACTTTTCTCCCTGATGAGCTAGTTGTTGTTATTTTACTTGCAAGAAATTTGATACATGGAAAAGCAAACAAAAATGCCATCCTTCTGCCTACTGTCTGAGGTGGTACAATCCCCCTTGCCCCTCCAGAATTCTGCTACCTTATTCTGCTGCATGTGCACACCAGACCTTGATTACTTAGCAATGTGGCTGCCTCTACCTATGCAACAGAACGAGTTGGTAGAATCCTCAAATTGCAGGTGGGGATACCATTTTCAATGGCTTTTCCACACGTTTGCTTTTAACTTCCTGCACGTAGCAAACTGAGGAGAATGGTTCTAAGTCAAGAACTTTGCACTGGTTTTCTGTCAGTAAGCATTTGTTTTGGTGTTGTTGGTTTTTCTTCTTTCTTTTTTTAATACATGCAGACTGAGCTACAGTCCATGCAACCACCTGACTCCCCCATCTCATTCTGCTGTGTGTGTGAACTGGGCCTGAATAATTGGCAGCTGAATATGACAAACTGATTCATTTGCAGGGAAGGAAGGCCTCATTGCAAAGTGAGGGGAAATGAGGGGATATGAAAGTTCTATCCGTGGGAGGTATCCAACTAAACAGTAACGCTAGTGCAACATCTTTTAGCTGCACAATGTAAGTTCCCCACCCTCTCCTTTCCCCATGCACCCCCGAGTTGTGGGAAAACCCAAGCAGATTTGGGTGGGGCTGCATGGGGAGAGGAGAGGGTGTGGGACTTACATTCTGCAGCCAAAAGTTGTTGCACTTGTGTAAATGTTAGTAAGATAAACCATGGATATATCTGTGAGGACCATTCCTACATGTGAGTCATCAAGTGATGGACAGGCATGCATGAACCAACTCAACACATCAGCTTCATGCATGTGTTTATCCACGCCAGATCTGAATTTCCCAAGTAGCATAAGGATGTTTCGGAGCTTTGGAATGTATGGGCTTTCTTTGCCTTGCTGTTTTAGCAAGTTGTACTATATTAAATTTAGATCTGTAAATTTAGCTATCTATCTATCCATCCAACCATCCATCCTTCTATTTCTTTGTTCTCCCACTGTGTGACTTCTGATCCAACTCTTCTCTGCATCTTTCCTGCAGAAACACGGAAGCTACGTTTGGTGGATGGAAGAAGCAACTGTTCTGGCAGAGTGGAGGTTGAATACAACGGTACCTGGGGCACCATATGTGATGACAACTGGGACCTGGCTGATGCTGGAGTTGTGTGCCGGCAACTGCATTGCGGCTGGGCTCTTCAGGCTCCTATTGCCTCTCATTTCCAGAAGGGGACAGGCCCCATCTATTTGGATGAAGTGAAGTGCTTGGGGAATGAGTCTTTTCTGTGGGACTGTCCATCCGAGAGGAACCATGACTGTGGACACAAGGAAGATGCCGGTGTAATATGTTCAGGTCAGCACAGATATTTTCCTCTCTCTGTGTGTGCACATGTGCATGCATACAAGTGTCTACTCATACAGATGACCCAAAGAACTGTCCATTTCCTGATCCTGGAGGAGACAAACTCTCATTATCCCATGATCAGGCCTTAATGACCAGACTCACATTGCCATGCTAATACTTGGAGACTCCACCAAATGTGGAAGTATTGGTGGAGGTGGGAGGAGACAGGGTAGAAGTTGCTTGACATCCTTGCTTTCCTTCCCTCCATTCCAAGACTTGGTAACGGAGGGCAAGGGGAAACAGAAGTCTTTCCACTCATTAAAACATGTCAGAAGAAGCAGCCAGGGCATTTTCAATCCTTTTCCTTTTTGTCTGTATTCTGAGCCTGGTGGAGCAGCCAAGAACTAGTACAGAAAGGAATTCCCAGTATAGTACCAGATAAAGTGATGTTGCTGGCCTAATGTTAACTGCATGAGGACACTGGGACATCCCTGCTTTAAATTTCGTGCCCCGTGCATATATTTTATGACAGCCGTGTGACAGAAGTGCATCTCTTGTGCAGAGCTATAGGAAAGATCAAGCAGAAATCTATTCCTCAAAGATCGACACATATTTATCAGTTGTAGCTCAGTACCATCTCAAGAGAAATTGCTGCTCCCCGCAGGTTGTGTTGTTTTTTGTTTTTAATAGAGATCAGTAGAAATATATGAAGCAGAGCCCTCCTGGATCAGGCCAAATGTCCCTCAAGTCCTGGATTTTTCTCTGGGGCAGCTGGAGACATCAGGAGGACCACCTTTATCTTTTTTCAATAATAAACCATGAAACAAACTTTATGTCTCTGATGAAGTCCCAGACCCAAGCAAGTAGTGCAAGTGTTTTGAGAACTATGTGTACTGAATGTAGCTCCCTTGAAAAACATGTAGCCCTGTTCCTCTTAATGCCTGGCCTGCAAACCAGAGTGTAAGCACTTAGCAAGAATGGGGAGATCTCCTGCGCTGACCTCCACACCTCCCATGAAATCCTCTCTCGGAATGTTTCCCAGAAAGCACATTAGGATAAGTTATTCTAAGCACATCCCTGCTGTTTTCACACATGACACCTAAAGTGACTTTGAGACACATAGTAGCATTTGACGTCTTCATTGCTGAATTGAAACGTCAACAAGCTCCCCACCCCCCTGCTTTGGATGGGAGCTCATTTTTAAAAATATCGTAAGAAGACGAAGGAGGGAAAACGGCATTTATTACTGTGGGACTCATAATGGAAGACGACAGCCTTGAAACCAAATGGGCATCCTACCATGTCCTTAGCCTTCTGTCTGGTCCATTGTTTTGAACGTTATGATTTGGCAAACAGAAGAGAGACATTTTAGACTTGAAGACATGTTCTGATCAGCGTGGCAATCTCAATCCTCAAATACAGGAAACTGCTCTACTATAGTTCTTAGCATCACACATGAAAATGCCTTCCATGTAACAGATATAGCTCTGGCCTACAAGAAAAGGAAATCACTGGTGCTGATAATGTAGCAGCGTATTACAGCATAAGAGTGGCATTTCCCCAGCTGTTGTATCTTTGCTGATTCTATTTCTCTCCCTCACTCCCATCACCTCCGCAGAGCACCAGGAGTGGCGGCTGTCAGAAGGACTAGATGCTTGTGCCGGCCGAGTGGAGGTTTATTACCGGGGCACCTGGAACACTGTGTGTGATGGCAACTGGTACCAGGATGAGGCTGATGTGCTCTGTCACTCATTGAACTGCAGTGAGAAGGCCTCAGTCCCGAGAGTGCCTTTCAACCACACGCTGATGGGCAAGATGTACTATGACTGCTCCGGAACAGAAAACTCGCTTGCCAGCTGCAGCTGGCTCTACAACAATAGCAATGTGTGCGCTGCCCAGTTTGGAGCTGCTGGTGTGATCTGCAATGGTAATTGCCCTAACTGGTGCCTCCAGTATGCCTTCTCTTTTTCTCTCCCTCTCTCCGATGCAGATTTCAACCACAGAGGGTAGTTAATGGTAAGAACAGGTAAGGACAGGGGAGAACTCTGATTCAGTTGGTGTTTAAAGACAAAGCTATGTCATCTGAACTTTCCAAAGTGCCGTGTGAACCAAAATGCCACCCTCCTTATGAATTCAATTTTGTGGTGCCATTCTCCAACCAAGTCCTGAAATTAAGTCTGGGGGGAAGAGAAACCGAGAGCAAGTGAAACAGGCAGATATGAATATCAGAAGATCCTGCTGGATCAGGCCAGTGGCCCATCTAGTGCAGCATCCTGTTCTCACAGTGGCCAACCAGATGCCCATAGGAAACCACGGAGCAGAACAGGAGCACAAGAGCACCCTCCCTTCCTGTGGTTTCCAGCATTCTGTGGAGGCAGAACATAGCCATCATGGCTAGTAGCCATCATTGATAAACTCTGTGAATTTGTCTAATCCTCTTTCAATGCCTCCATGTTGGTGGCCATCACTGCCTCCTGTGGGAGCAAGTTCCGTAGTTTTAACTATGTGCTGCATGAAGAAGTACTGCTTTTGGGGTGCAGTCTGTCCTGAATCTTCCAACCTTCAGCTTCCCTGGACGTCCTGTTCTGATGTTACAAGATCCCCAGGGACAAGTGATTGTCCATTAATAGTCCTCACCACCATCGTCCTGGAGCTTTCCCACCACCACTTCCCTTCAAGATTAAAGGACTTGCCTGCATTTTTGCCTTGCCAGACATCAATATCCATTTAACACATTCTCACCTGTGGACTATCTGCAGAAGGTGAAGCCAAGAATAGATCAGGTGCCTAAAACATTCCAGAGTAAAGACAGGCCAGATTTAGATCACTAGCTGAAATGGAGACAGAAATCCCACCTGGAGCCTGGGGTTCTTACCCCTGCAGGCATGCTGATCATCTTGGTGGACTGGGCTATTTGTTCCCTGTTTGCTACCAGTCCAAAAAAATGATCCAAGTGCTTCCATGAGGCACCTTAATGACTAGCACATTTATTATGGCGTAACCTTTCATAAACTCGCGCCCCCTTCATTGGATGCATAAAATAAAATCTTAATTGGTAGGTATATAAAGAAGAAAAATGGTAAGGTGGGAGCTGAATAGCAATCAGGTGCAGAAATCTCACCAAGTGATAATTAGAGCTTAACGAGGCACACCATTAAACCCTTTACAGCAGCAGGCTGGTGTCAATTGCTGACATGAGTGAACAACACATAGCAATAGAGTGGAACCTCTTTTTTCGAGTGTCTCAGAAGCCGGAACCTTTGGAACCTGTATGCCGAAAACCCGGAAGTAAATGCTTTCGTTTTCAAACACACCTCGTAAGCCAAATGGCTTCCGCTGCATGTTTTTCAATTTTCTCAGTGGAAATTTCCAACAGCCCTTTGTGCCTCAGTTGTTGAACATTTCAGAAGTCGAACCGTCTTCCTCAACGGATTACGTTCAACAACCAAGCTTCCACTGTAGCAGGATCTGTCAATTTCCGTTTTCTTGGTTTCTCATTTTTCCATTATTGAATTCATTTCACCACAATTTGCAGTGATTTGCATGGAAAGAGGAGTGGTTGAAATCTATGCCATGCCAGCCCAATACAGATAGTAGCCACAGGGCCCAAGCCAGGGGTCCCTTCTGGTTTCCCTGCTTCACTAGGGACTTCATGCCATGATGCTGTTTGGCTTCTCTGAAGGGGGTGATTGAGATGTCACTTGGCAACAGACCCACCCACCACCTGAAAATGCCCTGGTTGCGTTGCAGAGTAGCTAGGTAACTGGTTTGATGGTGCAGAAGCCGCTGTCACAACATGTCTCACAGTCTAAAGGAGCTTCCAGTTCTCTCTGTTTTACCCCAAGCCTGCAATGTGCTTTACCCAACACTGTTTCCTGCTGATCTGCATGGCTGCCGGGTGCTGACATGAAACCAGCACAGGCTGCTTAGTCTGCCTGAACTCAATACAAAGGTATCTGCAAATGAGGGAGGGTCTCTGGCTCTCCCTGTGCTGCTGCTGATTTGCTTAAAATATATGATTAAAATACAATAAGAATCATAAAAACTGTGGGGGGGGCGGACTAAGAGGAAAAAGCAGGAGCTGGGGGGTCCCTTCTCATCCATCCAGGATCCTGAGAAGATGCAGTCTAGACCCTCTTTCTCTGTCTCCTGCTCTCTAACCCCAAAACTAATACGGTCCTTAGGTGTTGCTGGTTCTTTACTCTTCTGTGCTCTTTTCTGGATTTCAGGCTCACAGGGTTTGGCAGGCCCTGCAAACACACAAGCGACAGAAGCAGTGACTCCAGTCTCCCACCTGACCAGTCCACGTAAGTTCAAGCCTCAAGGCACTTCCTCTTGCAGACAGTATTGCATCTCCCGTTTGTGCTCAGGCATTACAAAAGGAGGTAGCATAAAATCATGATCTCAGCTTGTTTGGTCTTGTCTGCCTGTGTGATCAGTACCCATCTGAACAAACACCCAGCCTCTAAACTTTCCACACCACACCTGCTGTTATCTTTATATAGCCCTTGTTCCTGGTCCGTGTCCTCTAGGTGACATAGGGACTATGCACAGCTGGGTAACTGAAACCATAGTAAGACTAGTCTTCATCCACAGTGATGCCATGCTACTAAGTTGTTTTAGATTGGCTTCCATACTGTGTTGTGCTTTAACATTGCAACCTGCCCTGGGACCTTAGGGTTAATAAATTTAATAGTCATAATCATAATCATTGTGATAATGTTACATGCCACCCCAATCTCTTGAGTGGTGCAAGATTCCGGGGGTTCCAGGCACTTACTCAGTGTGTCCTTTGGAATGAGGTGCAGCGGAGACTGGAGAGTTAATATGGTTTAATATATGGTTGCACATATTTACAACCAGAGCCTTCAATGGAGGGGCTCTCAGCATTAACATTCCCCATAAGGCCTTGCTTCTCTCATAGCTGCAGCCTTGGATTCCTGGAGAAATCAGGCATGGCTCTGATGCTCTGCCTTCCCAGCCGGCTGCCTTGCTTCCAGCTTCCAGCACACATAACTCCACTCTCAACTCTGGCCTTTGTTTTTCTGACTACTTGTGAGTTCAGGGAGGGGGGGCACCCAGATCCACGCCTTAGTGGCCCATTACCTCACCAGGAAGCAAGCCTGGCTATTCCAAGAATTAGAAGGGGCCCCAGACATTAGAAGTGTCTTGGCATACAGCCTACTCCCCCCTTCCCAAACTCATAACAACAGCACCAGCAACAACAATAACAGCAACACATTTATGGTATAAGAACAAAGAAAACACAGAAATGGCACAAAATCAAACACAAGCTTAGAAGGCTGTTTCCCTCTTCCTTGCCCTTCTCCCTTCCACACATTAGAGGCGGGGTAGGGTGGGTGGTTGAGGATTTGTTTACTTTGCATTTAGTGCAAATTTTCCAAATTCACATGTCCTGAACCAATTAGCAAATCAGAATACAGCCCTCCTTTGAAATCTGCACCACTTTCAATTTTGACATGCAGTTCGCAAACCAAAGAATGCATACAAAAATGTGCTTATTCACTGAAAATAGCATGCAAAATGCATTCTGTTGGGGGAAACTGATTGACTGGTTGTATTTCTATTCCACTTTTCATTCAAATGAATCCCAAAACACCTTACAAACAATAAATAACAATAACATAATAGGACATAATAGGACATCACAAATGCAACATAAATCCACTATGCATAATTGTGAACAAAAATAGCTATATTAGGATAATGTTTTTGCACAAAATGCTTATATATTTTAATGCCTACTTGGGGGAAAAATCATCATGGGATGAACTGAACTGGGAAAATGGAGAGAAACTGAAATTGACTTCTTCTTCTTCTTCTTCTTCTTCTTCTTCTTCTTCTTCTTCTTCTTCTTCTTCTTCTTCTTTTTAAATTGTCCATCTTTACTACCCACCCACAATTGTTAATGTTTCCATTTGCAGGTTGGACTGCACCTGAGAACTTAGATGTTAGACCATCATACCAGATACTGCAAATTCTCTGCATCGTCCTGGGTCTTCTCCTTTTTTTGGCCATTCTGACTCTAATTATCACCGTTTTGCGTCACAGGCGAAGGAAAAACGGTACCATTGGTATGCTGGGCACCACCAGCACTACAGAGGGAGGAAACCTACGTATAAATAATGCTATGGGGAATTTGGTGGAGTGGATATAATATACCGTACTGTGTTTTGGACAGCTACTATAGGAAGGCTTCGAAACAGATGCCAGATCCCTTCCTGGCAGGAATCAGAAATGCTGCAAAGTGTCCCTGCCATGAATTCATATTGCCACCAAGAAGCTGTCACGAGCTGTCAAATGTTTTTCAGCCTCAGTGTATCCCTGCCACTTCCAGAAGCCTCCTTTATAACAAGTCTATAATGCTTCCTGAAATCTGAAGGAGAGTGCAGATAGATTTCAAGAAGAAGGGTTGATTGCAAATGAGACTTAGAAGCCTCTCAGAGAAAAGTGCGTAATTGGGCCACTATCTCTCGGGGCTCCAGGTGTTCATTTTCTCCCCTGTTATGGGCATTTAGTTATATGGATTCATGTCGGAAACTCATTTCGTTTGCTTTAAAGATGCAACATTCAGCCAGCCTGCGGGCTGTCATTTTGGCAGATGTTTGTCCCTATAGTTTAGTAGCATATCCCTACTTCTTGGCCCCCTTTTGAAACATTTACATGCAAAAAAATTATTATTATGTACTACACACAATCGCAAAGCTGCTAAGTGCAACCAGGTGAACAGAACATATCTCCACATTGCTTTAAAAAGCCACACTGATGCCAGGTGTGTTTCCAGACACAGTTCAGAGTGCTGGTGCATAACTATAATGTCCTTCAGACACCATCCTCAGAGTGCAGGTCTGGCCCATGAGGTAAAGTGAGGCAACTGCCTCAGGTGGCAGGATCCACAGGAGCAGCAGATCCCAACGTTGATCTGTCTCCTCACCCCCACCCCAATAGTTTCCAATCTTCTCTCACTCCTCCTTCCTTGGCAGGGATGGGGGTGCCATTTTGGGGTCTGTCTCAGGGGCCAAAAGGTATTGAGCCAGCCCTGTCTAGGTGCCCCTGTCATCAGAGGTGAGGCAGGTTGAGATAGGGGAGAGGGGCCTGCTTGGTTGTGGTGCCCCACTTCTAGGGTGCTGTCTCTGAGGAAGCTCACTAAGTGCCTGTTCTGTTGTCCTTTTAGTGCCAGGCAAAACCCTTTTTGTTTTCCCAAGCTTTTAATATGAGATGGAAATTGTGTCAAATCACGATTTCTTTGGGTGGGGGGGTTGCAGTTGGATTTTATTGTTGTCATTTTGCTATGTACGATGACCAGAAAATGCTTTCATGTTTACTTCTTTTACGTGAATGAATGATGTTACCCGGGCATGCAACTTTGGGCTTATCGACAATTAACTTTCCTCTGGTTTTTCCAGGCACAGCCCGCAATTTAAAGCTCAGTGTCTGAGCACCCACACCCTTTTTTCTTTTTGCTTCAGAGCTTTTCCTGCGAAATTCCACTCTTAAAAATTCACTGTGCCTAGAAAGAGCAGGGTGAAATGTTTTGCCCAAAGTTGTTGAGCAAGCAAGGAAATTCGGCAAAATCAGATACGTCATGTCTAAACTGTCTTTAGTTACTATGGAGGGCCTATATTTCCTTTGGACCTTTCCAAACTATCATCTCTTTCTATAGTAAATATGTGCAGATGCTATTCTTTTCTTACAGAGCACATCTGTTGGAGGAATATTTCACTTTTCCACTGCTCAGTTGGCAGCATGGGTGTTGGTTTCCCCCTGCCCCGGATAACGCAATAGTTACTCATACGATTACCATGTGGAAGTTGATTGTGAGAATGTCACCTCAGCACCCTCTGAGGAGTGGAAAGGAAGCCTGTATAGGCCAAGAATGAGGGACCTGTGGCCCTCTAGATGTTGCTGGACTCCTCCCATCAGCCCAGCCCAGCCAGTGGTCACGGATGATGGGAGCTGTAGTCTGACAACATCTGGAAAGCCGCAGGCTCACCAGTTCCACTGTTGTCAGAGCGGGAGTCAAACTCCTATCTGCGTGCAACGTCCCTTTGCCGGGAAGCCTTACAGAATGAAATGTCTGTTTTCAGTTGCAGATAGTGCCAATCCCTGTGCCTCAACCACTGCCCCCATCCTTCTAAATCACATCATGCAAGTCTCAGCCACTGGAACACGCAACAACTATCAGCAAGTCCCCACAAACCTCCCCAAAGAAGAAGGTATGGGAAGTTATAGCTTGCTGGCATCACTTGTATCTCCCTTATTCCACCGACCACCTGTCTCCCCACCCTCTCCTGTCTTCCTGGCAGTTACTAGTTTCCATGTTTGATGGTTTGGACCAGAATCTACGAGACAGTAGCCCATAAGGCTGTCCTTGATGGGCTGCTGGGAGCGAAATGGTAGCACTATATTATCCCTTGTCTCATGTGTCTCCCACCTCATAATGGCTACTGAGGCACAGTAATGATTCCAATCTCTTCTTTGCTGCAGTTATCCAATAATGCTGCTGGTTGGATGTGTTTTATAATTATCAGGATCACAACAGGCAGTTTTCCTGAGGAAAGCCCCTACCTCAGAGCTGGTATTTGCTACTGAATCCCAGTTATTACCAGCCTCACACCACCAGTGACTGTTTGTTTTGATAACATTGTCCCTATCAGGATTCCTCTCAGTTTAACCATTTTATTTTCATAAAAATAGTTATTTTTTAAAAACCAACAACATTTAAATAGCTAATATAACTCCAAAAAAAGCCTACAGCTAGAAAATCTACTGTATGGTACTTTAAATATTGTATAAATGCCAGTACCCATTCCAAGACTTTTGTGTATATCATCAATAATGCTCCGTGAATGGTTACCTAATGTAAGTGTCTGAGAGTGTCATTTTTTAAATTTTGTTTCCTTCTGATTTTACTGGTTACATTTCTCCTTCGTGTCTCTCTGTGTTTGTGTCTATCTACAAGCTATCTATCTACTCTGCCAAGCAAAGATAGCATTTCATGCATCTGATAAAATGGTTGAAATATTTTGTGCCAGTGAAATGCTATTATGCTGGAGAATTCATAAGCAGGTTGCTGGCAGCTTTGTTGCACGATGGATCATGCAATCTGCTGTGATGTGAGTTTCAACTAGTGCAACTGTTGTGTTGGGTTCCTCTGTTGTGCAACAATAAAACTCTCCTATCCCCTGGCACAAGAGCCCTGGCAGTAGCAGATAGAGAAGGTTGGGTGTAGCCCAGAGTAAGTCAGTCCTGCTGCATTCCTGAGTTGACCTTGGACTTGTGCCCTGAAGTCCTGCCTGATAGCTCCACTAGCTGGTTCTCCCTGAGTGGACTCATGTTTCTTTCTCCCTTTCAGCAACGGCAGTGCTGCCTACACCCCTTAGTGAAGACTCTGATTCCGACTATGAACACTATGATTTCAGCAGCAAACCACCTGTGCAACTGTCTACCTTCTACAGTGAGCATCTCACCACTGCCAGGCACACACTGCTTTCTTGTCAGAAACTTCCCAGCTTCTTCGGGCCAAGCTGTACATCCATGATAATCCCTCGTGATCCTTTGTGGTTCTACTTTAAGGGAGCCAAAAGGATTTGATCAGGACTGGGGGATGTTTAACCCTTTCCTTTGTGCTGTTTTCCTAATCAAAATTCCACCCACTCCCCTCCCCCCCATATATCCCAGTATATATTCACACACACCCCTCTGCTTGACTAGCAGCAGTTTCGGAAGTCTGACTTAGATCAGTATTAAAGGAAAAATGCAGACAAAAGTGCATGCCACACTTTTGATTTTAATATTTAGTTAGGCTCTTTAAACACTTCCTTATCCACCACTACTGTTCCTTGGTGCCGCTTGGCCCACCTGCTATTTCCCTAACTCCCTCCCTCCACAGTCCCCAAGATTTTCCCACTGCAAACTTTAAAAGCAGATTAAGTGCAGGTTTTCTACTGAGAGATGCAAGTTAGTGTGCCCCACATCTATATGCCTGGGTCATTATGCAATCCACATTCAGAGGCAATTGAATGTTTGTTAGGGGTTGCATTTAGGAAGCTGAGTATGTGTCCAGTGTGTTTCTTCATCCCCACCCCAATAAAATCCCATCAGTGGATTCGTGCAGGGACTGGGTAGGGAGCAGAAAATGCTCTGCAGGGGCAGCCCATGGGTTCAACTGGCTCCTCCCAGCTAGTTGGGGCAAGGTTGGGAGAGAGGGCAGAGAGGCAGCAGGAGAGGGCTGGGGAAGGAGGGAGCAGGAAGGCACCCAGGCAGACCTGAGGAGGAATTTTGCCCTTTTGGTGTGCCCGGAAAGGGGGGGGGAGACACAAAAAGCCACAAGGGGCAAACCTTGTAAACTTTAAGAATTGTGGGAACTTAGGGTTAAAGGATCTGCAAGGCTGAGGGTTCAGAGGTGTGCTGTTTGAATACAGCATATATAATAGCCTACTTTCCTGACAAATCAACTTGTGCTTCTAAGTCATTTGGTGGTGGGGGGGGTGACAGTGATATTCTGTGGATTCTCCTACCCGTGTTTTGAAAGAACCTCCTTCTCCCCTTCCCCTGCATCTGGGAGCTTGATGATGAAGTCTGTTTGGCCCCTGCTTTCAGATTCTCTTCGAAACCGAGTGACTGATGAAGACCCTCCCCGTTACAATTTTGCAATGCCAGCTATGCACGAGGAGGGGGACAACAAGCACCCCACCTCAGAGGCCTATCCACAAGCAGGTGAGAGCCTTTCTGTATCTTTCGGGGGGGCATAGTAATTGTGATGCTGTTGCTGCTTTCTTGTGCTGGATCCAGTTCCTCACTGCCATATGAAGTCCATGGTTTTCTCCAGCAGGACCTGCGGCTGAAGACAGTGACAGCACCTCTTCTGGAGATGCAGACTGGTATGAGAACATCCAGAAACCAGAGCAACAGGAAAGCCATCCAGGAAACGAGCCTTCCTTTGGAGGTGAAGCATAGGATTGTTATCAATGGAACTTTAATTAGTCAGCTAGCACATTCAAAGGTCATCGCAAAATAAAACAAGGTTGTATCTACTCTGAACGTCAGAGACGAGCACAAACTGATCCCTTCAAAAGTGAGGCCATTCTCTGTAATGAAATTGACACCATCTGGTAATTAAGGCTTTGCAGTTATGGAGCATGTGTGGCCAGGCGTTGTGTTACACACACGTTTGCTAATGTACCTGCATGTTAGATACAAAAGAGAGATGCAACGTTAAAGAAAAATATTCCACATGAAACCATGGCCAGACATTTGATTCAAATTCAGTAGAGCTGACAGGGGCCTTATAGCATTGCTTTGTGGGGAGGCGTGTCTGACCTCTAGGCAGCCAGGTGGCCATCTGTGGCTTAGACAAAATGGATTCCTATTGTGGGACAGTTAAGGGCTGTGGGTGCCACACATCCTCATCTAAATATAAGGCTGCCAATTACCGCAGCCCACAATGCAGGGCTCTAGTGATGGTCAAGCAGAGCAAGATCGCCTAAAGAGAGAAGCATGGGGGCCAGAGCTTTCCACCCTGAGAAGCCGATAGTTTTCTCCCTCATTACCCAGCAAGACCTCCAGAGAGGCTTCGCAGCTGGATAGTTAGGTCACCAAGCACCTCAGCTTTCCCCTCAGCATCTTTTCCTTCTGAGTTTCTTCCTTCTTCTTGGCAGCTGACCTGAAATGCCCTCATTTCTTTGCTTCAGGTTCGACAGCTTCCCCTAGACCTTTGGTGAACTGCAAGGCTGGGCCTGGGAACAGCTCATTTGACAGCAGCAGCAGCAGCGATTATGATGACATGTGGGCCTAAAGGGCAGGGAAGCAGCTGGGATGATGCCGCTTCATCTGTCGTCAGCAACGCCTCCATCAGAAACAGCCAAGGGTGATGGCAAGGCTGAGAACTGAAAGGGACCTACCTGTTCCCACAGTCTGGGCCTCAAGGATTCAGCATTTTGGAAGAAGACCAATTTCCACAAAGATACATGTGTGTCCAACTCCATTCCCAGGACCAACTAGAAATTTGTTGCAGTCACAGAGCCATGTGTTTATTCTGCCTGAGATTTCCAACTTGTGCTATTGTGAGAATAACTATATGAGGGTGAAGAAAAGAACTGAGGCCTCAGATAGATTTCTTTTCCCCATTTTGTATGGCCAGCCGGCAGTGTACTGTCACAAAGCAGTTGATCCACTGACATTCCTACTGCCCCAGCAGGCTGACTTCTAGCTTCAAAATCCAAGCAGCTGGAGCAGAAGCTTCTGGCAATAAGCACTGGCCAGTCCCCTTGAATGGTGGTACATCACCAACACAGACTTCCCCATAGCTGCTACCCAGGATGGATCTAAAACAAAGTCCTTGCTCTAGGAATCAGAGCCTCTCTGACAGTTTCTTCCTTGGGGAGAGCTCTCAGTTAAATGCCAGGGTTTCTTGGATAAGGGTGGGATGCTTTTATGATGGGATTAGTCAAGGCTGTTCCACCTGAAGAAAGCCAGAATTGCTGTTTCAGAGGCTCTGCTTTCTCCTCACTGTGGGGAATGGGGCACGGATTGCCAGGACTAGCCCCACCTCACAGCAGTTTTAGCTTTCCACTCAGGGCTTGTGAAGGCCTGTGAGCTCCTGAGATGAAAGGAGGACAGCAGCTCCTTCTGCTACAGAAGCAAATTTGGGGAAGAACCAGAGTTCAACTGGCAGCAAAGAGCTTTGCCTGCAGTCAGGCCCAGATGCAGTCCATGGTGTCTCCAGTTCAAAACATCTCATGTAACAAGGCTGGGAAGGACCTTGGCCAGACACCCTGGAGAGCTGCTGATGCTAGGCTAGATGGACCAACGTTCTGACTAGATATAAGGCAGCTTCATATATGGTCTAAGGCCAGGGCTGAGAAACCTGTGGGCCACCGAAGAACTCTGACTGTCAGCCATGCTGGCTGGGGCTGATGGGAATCCTGCAATTTCCAAAAAGCCACACACAGCAATGACAGCTGCTCTATGTGTCTGGGAGTATACTGTCTGGGTTAACTGTAAGCCCCCCCCCCCGCACTTTGTGCTGCACTGTAGCCAGGACCGGAAGCATCTAATGGCAGAAATGAATGTATCTGATGAAACCCAAGCACAAGCATCTTCTATTTATTAAGAGAGTTGCATTCTCCTGAAGCGGGGATCAAATTCTTATTACTCATCCCAGCACGGTAAGGTAGACAGTGGCACTTTTGTGATGATGGCGAATTGAATATCTGCTTTTTATTCTCCTTGCAGATTTTGGAATTGGAGGTGCAGCCTGCGAGGGAGGGGTAGGGGGCTGCTGGGCCCCCAGAAGCCAGAATCAAGAGCCAGGGAGCGACTGCTGTTTGAGCTCTCCCAGTCTCTGGCACTCATTGTCTGTGAGGTTCTCAAGGGCCCTGTCTGGTCCCTGTCTCTTCCAGATCTTCATAAGAGGGTATTAAGTAGAGCAACCCTAATTTACATCTATGCTAGAGCAGGGAGGCATTTCAGAGATTGGCTTGTAGAGTCATCAACCACATCCATTGCTTTGCCATTATTGCTGCGGGCAGTGGGGAAGATGGGGCAGCCTGTTTGTCTTCCCTCCCATTAACTACAATAGAGGGGGTTATTTGCGTCAACCCTAGGGGCTGCTGTGGAGTTTCTCCATTTCTGTGGATGGGTTGGGGGAAAGGTGGCATATCTGTGCCTATGTCCAACTTGCCCTGTTTCCACTCCCACCAGTGGAAGCCCATCTGTGCTCTTCACTGGTGTGCCGGGACATTCTAGCAATGTAATGCCATTCTGCCAGCAAACTTCTGTCTCTGCCAGCAGAGAGATACATAATGCTATGCCACTTTCTAAGGCTCCTCAGGCAGCTCTAGGGTGGGGTTAGGATTCTTCCCTTAGCACATTTCATTTTTCAACAAAGTCGTTTTTTAAAAATATTTTGATGTCTACGCATAAGAATGAAAAGAGTGAATGCAACAAATGTGTACCGTGCATGCTATTTATTTGCTATTAAAAATATTTTTAATGCTGCATTTCATCAAAAAGGATTCCACAGCAGTTTACAACAGGACCAAACGATAACAACCCACGACAGAACCAACAATAAAAATACGCACAAAATTTAAAAAGAGAGAGGCAATCAAACAGCAACAAACTTAAAGAGTGTTAGAAATAGCAGTCGCCAATCGATAAAACTTAACAGTTAACTAATGCAATCTGAAATTCGAAAAGGCTTTAAGCTTCCATGGAAAGAGAAGAGGGAAAAGGTTGTGTGAGTCTGTCCTGGGAATTCCAGGAAATTGGAGCTTCTGCCAAAGAAGCCCTGCTCTCACTGGTGGTCAACTCTTACCCCATATGCACTCAGCAGGGAGACGTGATTGGCTGACTCAGGGGCATTTTAGCACTGAGTGGCATTTCTCTTGCATTTAATGCTCCTCAGGCCAGCACATGTTGGGTCTGATATTTGCAAGAAATATAACTCCAATCTTTAAAATGCTCAAGATTAGCTCCAGGATAAGTAAGTTGCACTTGGGTCCCTTTAGGAATCTATGCAAAACTAACCATGAATTCGTTCCCACTGAAATAAATGAGATCTAAATTGGGATTAATTTTACATATTCCAAAGGGATCTAAAGAAATATAAGTATTTGCAAAATGCATGCTATGATTTCTAGAATGCACCCATTTCTCCCACCTTCCTCTACATGTCTCTCTGAAACAAAGCCCCAGCCCTGATATAACAGATGTGACAAGGGGACTGTAAATGCCTGGCAAAGAGAGTTACTCCAAATGAAGAGAATGCTCAGGAATGCCAGCGGATAAGATTCCCTATGGACAGGGAGCAGATGTCAAGTCAGTACAAATATATATACCTTTTTCAAAGTTGCATTCCAGAACAGAGCTGTGCTGCATATCCCCCACAGCAGAAGCACTGCAGACTCGTGATGCTGTCCAGCATAATAATATACATACTGCCTCACATCTATTTATGCTGAGCATCACCTTTTCCCCCAAGGGAGAGAGTCTCTCCACTAGTTAAGTCTCTTGAGATGATGCACGGGAGGGATCTGTGCAATTCAGAAGGCACTGCTCAGAAGAAGAAGAAGAAGACAAAGAAAAGAGAAGCACAGAACCCCCTCCTGTTTGGAGTTTAACAATTCCTGCATATTGATGGATAGGATTTTGTGCCCACTTCTGAGATACTGATTCAGTGCATCGAAGCATCATAAGGTGCTATGAACTGCCTGCACTGATTCTACCATTGCCTTGGAGATCAGATTGGATGCCCATGCAATCCAGGACACTGTCTCCAACAATAATCAGCAAATTTCCCCTGGGGAGCTCATAAGCAAGAGCCCCTTCTCTTGTTATGTGTCTCCGAGGATCTGGTAATCAGAGGCACACTCTGCTTCTAAACATGGAAGATTTACTGAAAATGTGTGGTGGTGATAAAGATAATCCTCCACTTAAAGCAATTAAGTGCTTTATAGTGCATTAAAAATTAAGCTAAGGGTAGGATTCAATTAAGTTTTACTCAGAGTAAACCTACTGATATTAATGGGCCTAACTTAGTCATGGTCATTAATTTTAGTGGGTCTCTTCTGAGTCAAATGTAGCAGGATGCCACTCTGAATTCTGAGGTTTGGGGTATGGTTCCTTTCTCCCATTGTAGCAGAGTCTCTTGTCCTGTGATGTCCTGCAGCCCGTATTGCCACCTAGTGGTCCAGGTTAAGCCAAGCAACTTTCGGTGCAGAACAGCATTAAGGCTATTTGCCCACTCTGCTGGTGACAAGGAACTAGACATATGGTAGAAGATGATCATGCTAAATTGGGTGGGGCTGCACCAAGTAGGAGAGATCACTCATTTTGCTGTGTTGCTACTTTTGAGAATAGCACCCAAACAAGTGCTGAAGCCATTACATACAAATGGAGTTAACTTCAGTGCAGCTGAGCTGTTCTCCACATGGGCTGCCCTCAACTGATGTTGTCATTGGGGAAATATGGTTGCCGGCCCTCCCAGCAAGTATATCCATTGCAATCACAAGTGTTGTGCATGAAATGGCATTTACCCAGCAGTCAAACCACAATATTTTAGCTAGTATGTCCATTGCCACTGCAAGAACTGTATGAGATGTGATTGTGCAAGCATTGCAGAGCGCTACATTTTCTATTGGCGCTGGGCTGGTCCTAAGCTACTGCAAGCACTCCAAGCAACTGGTGTCTCATTTAAACCAGGTCTCTTTGTTTCCAGATGAGTTCATATAATGCCAAGGATGTGTGGCCCAGACAGGCATTGCGTTAGCATGCTAACTCTGCACACATAGCAGGAGAGCTCCGTTTATACGAGACGTCAGCTACACAATACGCTGTACGGGTTAGTTTTCCTAACCCTCCTGGTGTCACGTTCAAATCGATTGCGACAAGTTGACACTGCAGGAATTTACAATGCAAAGTGCTGCCGTGGCTTACCAGGGTGGTGATGGGGAGGACAACTTATAATTGGTCATTTGCGAATCTGAGCTCATTTAGATGCAGCAAATCTGAAATGGCCCATCGCCTGGCACTGAGATTTGACTTTTTAAAATGATGCCCAGCTGACTTAAACGTCAGGCTGTGTGGAAACACTGACACATCCCTGATCAGAGCTCGAGAAGATAGAAGGTGTATTTCAGCTTATAACAAAGACAGGACTCATTCAGGGCTCACGTTGCTCTACAGAACACTTGGCAGCCTGACAGGGGACTTCGGTGAACCTGGGTGCTACATTACCATTTCATACGGCCACTTCCAATTAGCTTGCTTTCCAGATTTCTCAGTCAAGGACAGTGTGGGCATTTTTTAGCCTAGCGTGCTCCTCTTCCTACTGCTGCTTCCTTTGCCACATCAAATGACATCTTAATGACGAAGGAAATAAATAAATGAAGGTTGCCTCTTTCCACTTGAAACTCAACTCCTGATCTGCATCTCCTTCCTCAAACCTTCTGCCCCTTTTTATCATCTCCATCTGTGGGTTACAGTTTCCCCTCCTTTGGCTCCTTCATCTCCTGTTCTGTGTGCTGGATAAATAGGTTATTTCATTTTCAATTAAGCCTATGCATCCATCTGAATCGCTGGCATCTACCAGATCGTTCTGTAAGGGTGTGTGCATGTGCGCGCGCGTGCACGTACCAGAAGAGGGAGGGAGCCAAGGGCAGGGTGCTGAGAAAGGGCCGCATGTGTGCAAACCAGCTTCAGTGGAAAATTCACCACCTTGTGCCCCACATCCTTCAGCTGTTTATCAGCTCAGATGGGTTCTCATATAGACTGAGAGCTTTGCCCCCAAACCACAAGCCTGAGGAAGAGTTGAAATAGAACCAAAGAACACCTGCAGCCCAGAAAAGTAAAGGATAGGAAGTGCCCATTCAGAAACTCAGCATCACCCACAACCACCAAGAAATAGGCTATAATAGGCTATAATACGGTTCTTCTCTTCAGTGATGTAAATACCATTTTTACATTGCTCTCTAGCTCTCTCAGACACACACCTCAAATATAATTACAAGCTAAAAAAAGGTTTAAAAAAGGTAAAGGACCCCTGGATGGTTAAGTCCAGTCAAAGGTGACTATGGGGTGCAGCACTCCACTCACTTTCTGGCCGAGGGAGCCGGCGTTTGTCCACAGACAGCTTTCCAGGTCATGTGGCCAGCATGACTAAACCACTTCTGGCACAATGGAACACCGTGACGTCACGGAAACCAGAGCACACGGAAACACCGTTTACCTTCCCGCTGCAGTGGTACCTAATTGACTACTTGCACTGGCGTGCTTTCGAACTGCTAGGTTGAAGTGCTGGCATGACACCGTATTGTGTTAAACTATGGTTTAAACAAATCATTGCCTCATTGCTTCTCTTTGACATATGCAAACATAATAGGTCAATGCAGTCTCAGTACGACATGGAATATGGACAGGATCCAGCGAGTGGTGTGCTGCCAGGGGATAATGGGAGTTGTAGGCCCCAAAACATCTGGAGGGGACAGGGTGGGAGAAGATTGGCCTACATCATTCTTTCAATTGTACACACTCTCTTTTATTAAACATAAAATTATTAGTCCTGGTAAATAAGTAATTACTGTACACACATTGTCCAGGCGGAAATCACTGCAATGTCCCATGTCAGAAGTCTAGATTTTGTGATATTTTCCTTAAATATAGCTCAAAAAAGCTATAAACTTTGGGCAAAACTAAAAAAACAAAACAAACCCTAGCACTTTGCCAAAGTAAAATCCTCAACAACTTTGCCAAAAAAAGCTGAACAACTTTTGTGTCTGGATTTTCATTTTTTGAAACATGGCAACCCTAGTTTATGTAATGTAAGATCTTCAAATGTGTTTTCAAACTATCTATACAGGATATATGCAAAAATAGACTTTTTAATTAGAACAAATAAGTCTCAATCCAGACCCTCCAAGTGTCCCTATTTTCCAGGGACAGTCCTGGATTTACAGAAGTCATCCTAGTTTCTGATTTGATCCTGGAATATTCCGCTTTTCCTTAAGACATCCCTATTTTCACTGGAGAAATGTTGGAGGGTGTGGAGTAGGATGTCCCTACTTTCACTGGAGAAATATTGGAGGGGACATTTATTTTCATTGGAGAATTGTTGGAGGGTGTGGAATAGGATATCCCTATTTTCATCAGATAAATCTTGGAGGGTATCCGTTTTCACTAAGGCATTATGCTGCCTGAGGTGAAGGACAAAATTATGCCCCCACACCCCAATTCCACAAATGGAAGCTGGCTGGACTGGAAGTCAACTCTTACTTTAACTGTGGTGATGGGACACCGTCTTCCACCATACCTGAAATCAGGCTGGTTGTGGGGACACAGAGCAGGCTGCAGGGCACACACATTTCTGTCTTCCTATGAAGCGGAACGGCTAGGATGCTCAGAAGAAATGACAGGGGAGTTGCCATTCCCCTTCGTCTCCCAGTAAACATTGTCTGAGC